TCCGCCTCTCAGGTTCAAGTGATTCTCATACCTCAACCTCCTGAGTAGCTGGGACTACAGGCGCACATCACCACGCCCAGCTAATTTTTTGTATTTTAGTAGAGTTGGTGTTTCACCATGTTGCCCAGAGTGGTCTTGAACTCCTGAGTTCAGGCAATCCACCTGCCTCAGCCTCCCAAAGTGCTAGGATTGGCACGGTGGCATGAGCCACCGTGCCCACCTAAAAGTTAAAACTTTCATTTTTCAAATGAAACCATCAAGAAAGTGAAAAGACAACCCACAAAATGAAAAAACATGTTTACAAGTCATATATGTGATTTAAAAAAAAATCTACAACTCAATAAAAAAAAGTTAGCCCAGCTAAATGCAGAGGATTTGAACGGATAACTCTCCAAATAAGATCTACAAATGGCTGCCCAGGCGCGGTGGCTCATGCCTGTAATCCCAGCACTTTGGGAGGCCGAGGTGGGAGGAGTGCTTGAACCCAGGAGTTTGAGACCAACTCTGGGCAACATAGTGAGATCTCATCTCTACAAACAATGAACAAAATTAACTGTGCGTGGTGGCATGTATCTGTAGTCCCAGCTACTTGGGAGGCTGAGGTGGGAGGATTGCTTGAGCCCAGGAGGTCGAGTCTGCAGTGAGCCAAGATCATGCCACTGCACTCCAGCCTGGGCAACAGACCCTGTCTTAACAACAACAACAACAACAACAGCAACAAATATATATAGATAGATACACACACACACACAAATGACCAATAAGCACATGAAAAGTGCTTGACATGTTTAACCATCAGGAAAATGCAAATCAAAACCTCAGAGAGATACCACTTCACACCCACTAGGATAATTTAGAAGACAGACAATAACAAGTATTGGTGAGAACACAGAGAAATAGAATCTTCATACACTGCTAGTAGAACTGTAAAATGGTGCAGCGACTTTAGAAAACAGCCCAGAGGCACCTCAAAAGGTTAAACTGAGTTACCATATGACACAGCAATTCCACTTCTAGGTGAATATCCAAGAGAAATAAAAACATACATCTATACAAAAACTTGTATGTGAATATTCATAGCAGCATTTGCTGCGTGCGTTGGCTCACACCTTTAATCCCAGCATTTTGGGAGGCCAAGTTGGGTGGATCACCTGAGGTCAGGAGTTTGAGACCAGCCTGGGCAACACGGTGAAACCCCATCTCTACTAAAAATACAAAAATTAGCTGAGCTTGGTGAGGGGCGCCTGTAGTCCCAGCTACTTGGGAGGTTGAGGCATGAAAACCACTTAAACCCAGGAGACAGAGGTTGCAGTGAGCCGAGATCGTGCCACTGCACTCCAGCCTGGGCCACAGAGCGAGACTCCATCTCAAAACAAAAACAAACAAAACAAAGCAACAAATATTCACAGCAGCATTATTCTAATAGCCCAAATGTGGACACCCTCCAGATATCCCTCCAATGGTGAGTAGATACATAAAATGTGATACAGTGAGACTTTATTGGGTAATACAGAGAAACAAAGTACTTCTAACGAGCTACAAAGTGGAGGAATCTTAAACACCTTATGCTAAGTAAAAGAACCCTCACACAAAAGGCCACATATCATGTTTCCACTTACGTGAAAGGTTGGGAACAGACAAATCCATAGAGACAGAAAGTGGATTGTGGTTGCCTAGGGCTAGGTAGGGAGAGCAGAGGATAGGCAGAGTTGGGGTGGAATGGGGAGAGACTGCTGCTTATGGGTTTGCAGTTTCTTTTAAGGGTGATAAAAATGTTCTACAATTCATTGTGATGACTACACAACACCTTGAATATATTTTTAAAAACCCATTGAATTGTAAACTTTAAGTGGCTTTTCAATATTATATTTCAATAAAGCTGTTACTTAAAAAAAAAAAGTTGGTAGTCTTTCTGTGTAAATGAGGAATCTGTAGTTATTTTTAAAATAAAAACTAAAACCAACTTTTTTTTTTTTTTTTTAGATGGAGTCTTGCTGTCACCAGGCTGGAGTGCAGTGGCGCGATCTCGGCTCATTGCAACCTCCGCCTCCCGGGTTCAAGTGAGTCTCCTGCCTCAGCCTCCTGAGTAGCTGGGATTACAGACATGCACCACCATGCCTGGCTAATTTTTGTATTTTTAGTAGAGACAGGGGAGCTGGTCTCAAACTCCTGGCCTCAAGTGATCTGCCCGCCTCAGCCTCCCAAAGTGCTGGGATTACAGGCATGAGCCACTGTACCCGGCCTTCTTTTTTTTTTCTTGAGATGGAGTCTCGCTGTCTTGCCCAGGCTGGAGTGATTCTTCTGCCTCAGCCTCCAGATTAGCTGGGATTACAGGCACCCACCATCATGCCTGGCTAATTTTTTTGTACTTTTGTAGAGACGGGGTTTCACCATATTGGCCAGGCTGGTCTCGAACTCCTGACCTCAGGTGATCCTCTCGCCTCAGCCTCCCAAAGTGCTGGGATTACAGGCATGAGCCACCGCACCAGGCCTAACTTTTACATAAACAAACAAACAAACAAACTGTTGGAAGGGCAGAAGACTGCTGCTAGTGTTAAGAAAATCAAGCTGTTTAGGAACTACCAATGAATTCAGCTCCCTGCAGCACTGAGGTGAACACCTTGCAAGAAGACACCAGGAACATGTGGCTGAAACCTTTCCAAAGCCTGAAGTCTGCGCACCTGCCTGCCGTGCCAGAAGCAATAATCCTCTCTACTCCTCTCACTCTCTCAATCTTGCAGATACACCATTTATTGGCAGAACCTGCACTGGAGCCCTGAAGATGAGCAGGTACAGGAACCGCCATGTCCCAGATGCCAGCTCCTGTGATACTGGGGACAACACAGGAGGAAGTGGGAATGGCACTGAGCAGCCACACAGAACAGGAAGTGAACTCACCTTCTGTTTAAAATGAGGAAATTGAACCCGAGATCGTAGAAGTAATTTGCTCAAGGTCACATAACTTGCTAGTGATAATGTACCTACTGTTCAGCTTAGGGCTTTCGTTGGCGGGTTGCGGGGGGCAGGTACAAAAACCATCTGTGTGAATTTTAGGAGGCATAATAAACGGACTATCAAGTTACTATTCTGATTTAACACCCAGAAAACAAAGATACCAAAGATGGTTTGTGTAGGAAAAATCCTGGTGCTGTAGATTTCAGGCCTGTCCAAACATTACACTTCAAACAAATGCCTGATACTGCAAAGCAAAAGCTCATTTCATAGGTTTGGTGGTTTGTCAAAAAATCCTTCAACATGATATTTTGGCGCACACACAAAAAATTCCACATATCATGAGCAAAAAGTCTGAGCGGAGTTTCGCTCTTGTTGCCCAGGCTGAAGTGCAATGGCGCAATCTCGGCTCACTGCAACCTCTGCCTCCCAGATTCAAGCGATTCTCCTGCCTCAGCCTCCCTGGTAGCTGGGATCACAGGCATGTGTCACCACACCCAGCTAATTTTGTATTTTTAGTAGAGATGGGGTTTCTCCATGTTGGTCAGGCTGGTCTCAAACTCCTGACCTGAGGTGATCCACCCGCTTTGGCCTCCCAAAGAGCTGGGATAACAGTCATGAACCACCAAGCCCAGCCTGAATTTTTTTTTTTTTTTTTTTTTTTGAGATGGAGCCTTGCTCTGTTGCCCAGGCTAGAGTGGAGTGATCTTGGCTCACGACAACCTCCACCTCCCTGGTTCAAGTGATTCTTCTGCCTCAGCTTCCTGAGTAGCTGGGACTACAGGTGCATGCCACCATGCCTGGCTAAATTTTTTTGTATTTTTAGTAGAGACAGGGTTTCACTATGTTGGCCAGGCTGGTCTCGAACTCCTGACCTTCATGATCTGCCCACCTCAGCCTCCCAAAGTGCTGGGATTACAGGCATGAGCCACCACACCTGGCTAGTCTGATTTTTTATTAAGATTTGCTTACTGAGAACCAGGGCTCCAACTACCCATTCACTCATTCTTAAATTTGTTCATTCATTCAGCAAATATTCCCCAAACATCCCTTAAGGGGCTTTCTTCAGTGAAGGAGACAGAAATGTAAAAAGTGAATAAAATAAGGCCAGGCGTAGTGGCTCACGCCTGTAATCCCAACACTTTGGGAGGCTGAGGCAGGTGGATTACCTGAGGTCAGGAGTTCGAAACCAACCTGACCAACATGGAGAAAACGCATCTCTACTAAAAATACAAAATTAGCTGGGCATGGTGGCACATGCTTGTAATCCAAGCTACTCGGGAGGCTGAGGCAGGAGAATTGCTTGAACCTGGGAGGCGGAAGTTGTCGTGAGCCAAGATCGTGCCATTGCACTCCAGTCTGGGCAAAAAAAGCAAAACACCGTCTCAAAAAAAAAAGAAAAAAGTGAATAAAATATATATGAGACTGATAAACTTAGTATAAGAGTATAAATATATGTAAACTGATTAATTATAAATATAACAGGGCTGGGCACAGTAGCTCCTGTCTGTAATCCCAGCACCCAGCACTTTGGGAGGCTGAGGCAGGAGGATCACTTAAGTTCAGGAGTTCGAGACCAGCCTGGAAAACCTAATGAAATCTTGTCTCTACAACAAAAGAAAAAGTAAAACGTGACAAGGCACAGTGACTTATGCCTGTAATCCCAGCTCTTTGGGAGGCCGAGGCGGGCGGATCATTTGAGGTCAGGAGTTTGAGATCAGCCTGGCCAACATGGTGAAATCTCATCTCTACTGAAAATATAGAAATTAGCCAGACCAGGCACAGTGGCTCACGCCTGTAATCCCAGCACTTTGGGAAGCTGAGGCGGGTGGATCACGAGGTCAGGAGTTCAAGACCAGCCTGATCAACATGGTGAAACCCCATCTCTACTAAAAATACAAAAATTAGCCGGGCATGGTGGCAGGCACCTGTAATCCCAGCTACTGAGCAGGCTGAGGAGGAGAATCGCTTGAACCTGGGAGGTGGAGGTTGCAGTGAGCCGAGATCGTGCTACTGCATTCTAGCCTGGGTGACACAGTGAGACTCCGTCTCAAAAAAAAAAAAAAAAAAAAATTAGCCAGGCATGGAGGTGGCTCTCGTGGAGGCAGCTAGCGTGAGGCTAGGGAGCGCTGAGCCGTGCCTCATGCCCTGCGCTACCCAGACTAGTGAACAATACAGTCAGGATGGCTAAAGGTGACCCCAAGAAACCAAAGGGCAAGGTGTCTGCTTATGCTTTCTCTGTGCAGACATGCTGCAGCGGGATAATGAAGGAATCACAGAGACCAAGGGGTGGAGGAGGAATTATTTATTATTTAGGTGCACCAGCCCAGTTGGATTAACATCCACAGGACTGAGCCCGAACAAAGAGTCAAGCTACCTTTTAAGCATTTTGTGGGGTGGGGGGAGATCTGTGCAGGGTAAAGCATATTACAGAAGCAAGAAATAAAGACAGTTATTTAATTAAGACATGCATTACATCATTTATTACTTTTCAAGGAACAACATGTTTTATGACTTGCGATTATCTGCCTAGTGACCTTGCAGCTGCACAGCTAGAGAAACAGAGTCTTCACAATTCCTGGGAAAGGGAGAGATAAGGCTCACGAGCCACAGAAAAACAGGCAGTTAATTTTTAAAGGACTTCAGCTTTTTTTCTTTCTCAGGGAGAATTGGGTTTTCTTACATACAACTGAGTTTTTGCTCACATATTCTTGAATTTCTTTCCTTTTTTTTTTGAGACGGAGTTTCCCTCTTGTTGCCTAGGCTGGAGTGCAATGGCACGATCTCAGCTCACAGCAACCTCCGCCTCCCGGGTTCAAGCCATTCTCCTGCCTCAGCCTCTGGAGTAGTTGGGATTACAGGCATGTGCCACCACGCCCAGCTAATTTTTTGTATTTTTAGTAGAGATAGGGTTTCTCCATGTTGTTCAGGCTGGTCTCGAACCCTGGACCTCAGGTGATCCGCCCACCTCGGCTTCCCAAAGAGCTGGGATTACAGGCATGAGCCACCACGCCCGGCCTCTTTAATTTCTTTTAATTCCTGTTCCAATGCAAAGAAGAACATAAGAAGAAAAACCCGGAGGTCCCTGTCAATTTTGCAGAATTTTCCAAGAAGTACTCTGGGAGGTGGAAGACAATGTCCAGGAAAGAGAAATTTAAATTTGATGAAATAGCAAAGGCAGATAAAGTGCTCTATGATCGGGAAATGAAGGATCATGGACCAGCCAAGGGAGGCAAGAGGAAGAAGGACCCTAATGCCCCCAAAAGGCCACCATCTGGATTCTTCCTGTTCTGTTCAGAATTCTGCCCCAGGATCAAATCCACAAACCCCGGCATCTCTATTGGAGACGTGGCAAAAAAGCTGGGTGAGATGTGGAAGAACTTAAATGACAGTGAAAAGCAGCCTTACATCACTAAGGCGGCAAAGCTGAAGGAGAAGTATGAGCAGGATGTTGCTGACTGTAAGTTGAAAGGAAAGTTTGATGGCACAAAAGGTTCTGCTAAAGTTGTGCGGAAAAAGGTGGAAGAGGAAGATGAAGAAGACGAGGAGGAAGAAGAGAAGGAGGAGGATGAGGATGAACAAACAAACTGTTTATCTGTCTCCTTGTGAATACTTAGAGTAGGGGAGCGCTGTACTCAACATATCTCTTATTTGAGAAGTGTCTGTTGCCCTCATTAGGTTTAATTACAAAATTTGATCACGATCGTATTGTAGTTCCTCAAAGTGCTTTAGAAATTGTCAGTGGTTTACATGAAGTGGCCATGGGTGTCTGGAGCACCCTGAAACTGCATCAAAGATGTACATATTTCCAAACATTTTTAAAATGAAAAGGCACTCTTGTGTTCTCCCCGCTCTGTGCACTTTGCTGTGGGTGTGACAAGGCATTTAAAGACGTTTCTGGCATTTTCTTTTTATTTGTAAGGTGGTGTTAACTATATGGTTATTGGCTAGAAATCCTGAGTTAACAACTGTATATCTCTATAGTTTGTAAAAAGAACAAAACGACTGAGATAAAGTCTGGATGCTCCTTGCTCGGCGTTGAGGCTGTGGGGAAGATGCTTTTTGGAGGGGCTATAGCTCAGGGTGTGTGCACTGTGAGGCTGGACCTGTTGACTATGCAGTGGGCATCCATTTCGCTTCAGGTTGTCTTGTTTCTGTGACATAGCATTCTGCTGCCATCTTAGCTGTGGACAAAGCGGGGTCAGCTGGCATGATTTTTTTTTTTTTTAGTTAAGTGCAGAAGTTTTTAAACAAACTGTAGAACTCTTCATTGTCAGCAAAGTGAAGAGCCACTGCATTAGTGAAAGTTCAAGAACCTCCTGTACTTAAACACGATTTGCAACGTTCTGGTTTTTTTTCGTATATTTAGAACACTGAAATGGTTTTGAAGTTAAATGAACAGTATTACATTAAACAAAAATTAGCCAGGCATGGTGGCGGGTGCCTGTAATCCCAGCTACTCAGGAGACTGAGGTGGGAGGATTGCTTGAGCCCAGGAAATCGAGGCTGTAGTGAGCCAAGATCATGCCAACTACTCCAGCCTAGTTGATAGAATGAGACACTGTCTCAAAAACAAGCAAGCAAACAAACAAAAAACTCTGAAAGAAGCACTAGCAAAGAATTATGGGAGCATCCAAAAGGAATAATAATAACTCTTTTTTTTTTTTTTTTTTTTTGAGACAGAATTTCGCCCTTGTTGCCCAGGCTGGAGTTGCAATGGCGCAATCTCAGCTCACCGCAACCTCTGCCTCCCGGGTTCAAGCGATTCTCCTGCCTCAGCTTCCCGAGTAGCTGGGATTACAGGCATGTGCCACCACTCCTGGCTAATCTTTTGTATATTTAGTAGAGATGGGGTTTCTCCATGTTGGTCAGGCTGGTCTTCAACTCCCGACCTTAGGTAATCCAACTGACTTGGCCTCCCAAAGTGCTGGGATTACAGGCGTAAGCCACCGCACCCGGCCACAATAATAACCAACTCTTATTGGACACTCACTATGTTCTAGGCATCTTCTAAATGCTTTACATGTATTAATTTGTTTAATCTGCACAAAAATCCTATGATGTGAGTGGGTAGCACTCTTTTTTAGAAAACTCAAGCGCAGAGTGTTTTAATATTGAAGGGGAGGAAAAATAACTTTTTCTTCTGCCCTTCATAGTTCTTAGACAGTATGAACCTCTGTAACACAGGACAGATAACAAGAGAAAAACAGGCCGGGCACAGTGCTCACGCTTGTAATCCCAGTACTTTGGGAGGCCTAGGTGGGAGGATTGGTTGAGCTCAGAAGTTTGAGACCAGCCTTGGCAACATGGCTGAGACACTGTCTCTACCAAGAATACAAAATAAAATTAATTGGGCAGTGGCAGGTGCCTGGAGTCTTAGCTACTTGGGAGGCTGAGGTAATAGGATCACCCGAGCCCAGGAGGTTGAGGCTGCAGTGAGCTGAGATTGTGTCACCACACTCCAGCCTGGGCAACAGAGCAAGATCCTGTATCGAAACAAAACAAAACTCCAGAAGTTTAACAACAGGTATACCTCTTATGTATCCATAGGAGATAAACAGAGAAAGGAGTAAACCTCAAAGAGGTGGCTTTGAATTCAGGTTTCAATACCATCGTTTGCCAGACAGAGAAAGAAGGGTGTGGGGAAGGCTGATAATGAGGGAGCTGCCAGGAAAAGCAGAGTAAACAAGAGTGAGGTTTGCTGCACAGATTTAAGCCAGAGCCATCTATACTGATGAGTTCCTAGTGATTTAGAATCATCCTGCTTTTCCTGGTACAGAAAGGAAGGCACCCTTACAAATGGAGACTTCCGGCCAGGCCTGGTGGCTCATGCCTGTAATCCCAGCAATTTGGGAGGCCGAGGCGGGTGGATCACCTGAGGTCACTAGTTCAAGACCAGCCTGGTCAACATGGTGAAATTCCGTTTCTGCAAAAAACACAAAAATTAGCTGGGTATGGTGTCATGCACCTATAGTCCCAGCTACTCAGGAGGCTGAGGCAGCAGAATTGCTTGAACCTGGGAGGTGGAGATTGCAGTGAGCTGAGATCATGCCACTGCACTCCAGCCAGGTGACAGAGCGAGACTCTGTCTCAAAAAAAAAACAAAAACAAAAACAAAAAAACAAATGAAGACTTCCCTTATAGATTAAATTTCCTTTACAAAAGGGTAATTTCTACTGTTTTCAGAGCTTCTCCTGTATCTGTAACTTCTCAAAATCATCAGCTCAAAATAGTCCTTATGCTAAGGAGGCATATTTCATGTTGGCATATGCTGGTCTCCTACAATAACTCGCCAAAGATCACAAAACTAATAAGTGAATTCAGGCAGTCTGGCTCCACGCCTGTGTCCTGCGTCATCTCACTGGAGATCTTTTACAGGACAAGGCAAGTCATGTGGTAACTTCTAATTAGAGGGATCAAGGAAGACTTCATGGAAGAGGCAGCGTTTGAATTAAGGCCTGAAAGTAAAGGAAAAGAGCATTCCAAGTTGGGAGTGTAGATACAGAGATGCAAAAAGAAATATGTGGGGGTAAGCATTTGGCCTGGCACAAGAAGGTGGAAAATATTGAGGGGGAACTTGGACTCTCTGGTAAGTGTTGGCACACTATTGTGAAGGTATTGAGAAGTCAAAGATTTTTTCTGAGCCCTTTTTTCTAGCCCTTTAATACAAAATAGCTAACACCTATGCCCGGCATGGTGGCTCAAGCCTATAATCTCAGCACTTTGAGAGGCCAAGGCAGGAGCATTGCTTGAAGCCAGGAGTTCAAGACCACCCTTGCCAACATAATGAGACCCCCATCTGTATATTTAAAAAAAAAAAAAAAATCAGGGCTGGGCATGGTGCTCATGCCTGTAATCCCAGCACTTTGGAGGGCTGAGGTGGGCGAATCACAAGGTCAGAAGTTCGAGACCAGCCTGCCCACTATGGTGATACCCTGTCTCTACTTAATTTTGTAAAAATACAAAAATTAGCTGGGCATGGTGGTGGGCACCTGTAGTCCCAGCTACTCAGGAGGCCAAGGCAGGAGAATTGCTTGAACCTGGGAGGCAGAGGTTGCAGTGAGCCAAGATCGCACCACTGCACTCCAGCCTGGTAACAGAGTAAGAATCCGTCTAAGAAAAAAAAAACAAACAAAAAAACAAACAAAAAAAAAACCTAACACCTAATATGGGGTGGTGGTAGAGGAGAAAAATTTCTGGTATCTATTCTAGAAGTACAACTTCATTGAAAACACAAGACATAAGAACACTAAAAAAAATGATAGAAAAGTTTAAAAATGTGATACAAGAGATGTTTCAACGTTGTGCATGATTAGTTGTTTAACAAACCACATGGTTTTTGCAAATTTAAGGTTATATTAACTGTTTCTTTGGTTTGAATGGGGGGTTTGCAAGTAGAAGAAGAGTTTGGAAAAGGCTTTGGACAGTTGAGACAGGTTTTGGAAGGAAGCTGCTATGGTTTGAATGTGTCCCCCAAAACTCGTGTGTTGGAAACTTAATCCCCAATGCAACAGTGTTAGGAGGTGGGGCCTAATAAGGTGATTAGGTCATAAGTGCTCTGCTCTTGTGAGAGGATTAATGTCATTTTTGAGGGAGTGGGTTAGTTATCTTGAGAGTGGGCTGTTTTAAAAGTGAGTTTGGCTTCCTTTTGCTCACTTGTCTCGCTCTCTCTTGCTCTTTTGGCTTCTGCCGTGGGACGACTCAGCAAGAAGGCCCTTGTCAGATGCTGACACTTTGATATTGAACTTCCCAGACTCCAGAATTGTGAGAAATAAACTGATTTTCTTCATAAATTTCCCAGTCTGTGGTATCATGTTATAGCAACACAAAACAGACTAAGACAGAGGCCATAAATAATGGACGGCAAGCCCTATTGCCAAATGTGGGAATAAAATGGTTAATGCTGAAACTGCCCAAGAACCCTCTCTCTCTTTTTTTTTTTTTTTTTTTTTTTTTTTTTTTTTTTTTTGGAGACGGAGTCTTGCTCTGTCGCCCAGGCTGGAGTGCAGTGGCCGGATCTCAGCTCACTGCAAGCTCCGCCTCCTGGGTTTACGCCATTCTCCTGCCTCAGCCTCCCGAGTAGTTGGGACTACAGGCGCCCGCCACCTCGCCCGGCTAGTTTTTTGTATTTTTTAGTAGAGATGGGGTTTCACCGTGTTAGCCAGGATGGTCTCGATCTTCTGACCTCGTGATCCGCCCGTCTCGGCCTCCCAAAGTGCTGGGATTACAGGCTTGAGCCACCGCGCCCGGCCAAGAACCCTCTCTTTACCTTCATAACGCCCCAGGGAGAGGAGAATCCCTGTAATGAGTGACTGGAAATAATAAACTGGCTCTGACAGGAGCTTAGGTGTCCAGATATAGGCAGCTCCAGGCTGACTTTGTGGTTCCACAATCCAGAGTGAGAAAATTCCAAGGCTTCCTCCTAGACCACATCCTTAATGCATAAGAATTGCCAGAGAAAATTATCCAAGATATGGAAATGGGCAAAGGAGATTATTAGGTTTCCTTTCAATGGAATTGTTACTACTGCCTATTGGAATTTCTGGAATTTTTGGATTTTATAGGGTTGTACAATTTAACTGATTTCTTATTGACTAGGTTATTTTATAATTTTGTAGGAATTGAAGTAATATTGTAAAAAAAAATCTGATGGTAAGGCAAATTCTTATCCATAGCAATGCAAATAAATTTTGCCTGATAAAGATATTGATTTCTCCTCTTCAGAAGAGAGAACACCAAACATTACATTTTATTGCACTGTAGGATATTAACCAGTTTTGCATCTATTTGCAAAACCGTTTTGTCTTTTCTCTTTGCCTCTCTGTTCCTCAAATTCCCTTTGAAATAATCTTAACATCTTACCAGTGCCCTCATTAATTGAATTGAATAAAATCTTTGACCTGTGTTCATTCTATATTTGCACAAAACCATGTTTTTGAATCTTTTTTTTTTGAGACAGGGTCTCACTCTGTCACCCAGGCTGGAATGCAGTGGCACGATCTTG